TTTTTGAGATAGGGTCTCGCTGTACAGTCCAGGCTGGCCTCAAACTCACTATGTAGCCCCGGCTAGCCTCAATTTATGCGATCCTCCTGCCTCAGCCTCCTTAGTGCTAGGACTATAAGTGTAAACCAACCTTCTTAGAGGCAGTCTTTTTTGACACAGATAGATAGATGATAGATAGATTAGATAGATAGATAGATAGATAGATAGATAGATAGATAGATAGATAGATCACCCAGGGTACTTTTTAAAAATGATTCCTAGTGCTCTCAGCAGTCCTGATAACTCAGAATATCACTGCACAGATGGCTCTGGGCATTTTATAGTTTTTGCTTGTTTGTTTCATTTTTGTTTTTGTTTTGTTTTGTTTTGTATTTTAGGGAAGGGTTTACAGGGTGTTCAGGGTCTTACTACCAGATCAGACTCGTAGTGATCTGCCAGTTTACAGCCTCCCAAGAGCTAGGATTACAGGCGTAATACCATGCGCAGTGGTATTGCCGTCTCAGCACGCCCTGGTAGCAGGGCCAGCACCGAAGGCTGGGGATCGAACCGCCAGTCCCTGCGCCTGTTTGCAGGCACTTTAATCCGCTGAGCTACTTGGCCAGCCCTTGGGCATCTTATAGTTAAACAAGCTCCGCAGATGACCCCTGTGCACAGTGGAGATGGAGAGTAAGCGCTCTGGGGCGTGGCACATCTCCTGCAATGCTCCTGTCCAAGTGAATACACAGAGGACCGGGATCCAGTGTAGGCAGCTGCGCACCTTGGTGCTCACGATCTTCCTACGAAGAGGAACCTGAGTCCCCCGCCTGACAAGTGGGGAAGCCCCGTGGCTGATGATTGCCAAAAGAGGAAGCACAACTGCCCTACGCACAAATGGCAAATGCTCAGAGTCTCCAAGACACAAAAAATATAACGAAGAAGGAAAGAAGACTTGCCTACAGAAGCATCACTTTACAGGTTTTCTTGTAAGCAAAGCCTGCTGGTGTCACGGGGGTTGCTATGATGGCCGCAGTGGAGCAGATTTCTTGGGAAATGAGCTGGCCTTGTGTATGAAGGGCCTCAAAAACAATTGGAAGGCATTGGAACTCCGTCCTTCTGACTCTATTCTGAGGAAATCGTATTATTTACAGGGGAAGAAAAATCTTTCTGAGTGCCCGGGGAGATGGCTCAGTAGAATAAGCGCTTCCCTGGCAAGAGCAAGGGCCTGAGTTCAATCCCCTGTTCCATCAAAAAACAAAAAACAAATCAGAGAGA